CAAAGAAGTAAAGCTAAATAATGGCTACAACATACTTAATACTACCCAATAGATTCCTCCTAAAACACAAGCATAACCAAGCTAATTAATGTGTTGTGCGCTACTGGCAATTTGAGGGGCTGAGAAAGACAGAGAAAGCTCTAACCCATGGACGAGGTAATGATAATAATTATAAACATTATAATGATACTTTTGATCACCTTAAATCACTAAGATGAAAAAGACCAAAGTTAAGGTCAAACTTGCCTCACATAATTAAATTAAACATTGATTTACCAAAAAGTATATATTATATACTGTGATTAAAATGTTTATACATTTATGCAATATACCTAGAAATATAAAATAAGCTGTTCTACTTGTGTCATCTACTGTATGTAAATGTGATAAATATGGTGACACATGATGTCATGGTTTTGGATCTGTTTAAGTTTCTTTTTGAATTTTCATTGGTTTCATTTCTATTTTGTGTCATTCTAGTTGTTTTTGGTTGTATTTTTTTTATTTTTATGTATTTCTTGTTAACCCTCTGTTGCCCCCGTGTATTAGTCTTCTTCCCCTAGCTCCTTTCTAGATGCTTCTATCCACACCTGCTCCTTGTCAGTTCATTAGTCCAGTCTTTGTTCTGTCTACCATATATACTCTCACTGCCATGTTCAAGGTTTTGGTTTTCTGTATTTTGTTATTTTTGGATTTTTGCCTCAGTTGCCAGCTTTTTAAATTATTAAATCTGCAAGTAGCCACTTCAGTTTCTGCCTCTGCATTTACGTCCTCCAAAACCTCCACTTAACTTGACATACTGCAGGTCTTGATATTCACCATCACCCGATCTCCCGGGGCAAGTGGTTTTTATTGTCGGGAGAGTACAAATTTCACTGCATTTGCCTGCCGGGCAAGTGCAATGGTCGCAAAAAAAAATTATTTATCACTCAAAATTACTTTAAAATCACCGACATTCGATGAAAACGACTCAGAAGCGTTGGCGGCGCCATTTTTGTTATTTTGTACACATTCTTGCGTGATTTGAAAAAGCCATGATGGCGTGATTTTTGTCCGGGAATTGGTGTGAATCAGACACATTTTTTTCAACTTATCAGGCTAACAAGGACAAAAAAATTTAAGTACAGTAACACACCCACCACATATTTTACCCTCCACCCATTTCACCCACCACCCAGATAACCCTAGATTAAAAATGATCGGTCAGGGATTAGGAAAATTGGCATAATTGTATGCCATGCGCACAGTGTAAATATGGCTATCATATGGCAGTCTTCTGTACAGTGATGCAGGTCATACATTAAAAAATGTTTTCTCTCAGACATTGGAGAGGAGCATTTAAATGTTATAGAGCTAAACATGTTAGGGTTGTGTCGTGTTAT